GCTGGGCTTGGGGCAGAGTGCTTACGCGGGGTACTCGGGCACACGGTCCTTGAAGGCAGGACGCTCCACCACATACTCGTTGTAGAGCCACTTGACCTTGAAGTGGAGGTTCATGTAGTCGGCACTCTTGCAGAGACGATGCTTGTTGTGCTCTGGATAGGAGCGGAAGGGGTGGCTCAGCTGAGAGGCTGCCCACTCTGGCCATCACTGGTGTCCAACTCAGGCATGAGAGTTCAGGGCACTCATGGCCTTGGAAGGGACTCTGAGGCACAGCTACTTGCTGTAGCCAGGTTGGTGGAATGGGGGTCGGAGACTCACCCTCCATGGCATACTTCATGTCCTGTGCAAACAGATTCCACATCACTTCGGCACTGATTTTACCCACATTTAGCTCCTGGGGAAACCTGGCAAAGGTCATCGAAGTATGGGATCTTGACACACGGAAGCCAGATGGCACAGGCTGCTTTGTCCTTTCCTGCCCCAGAGGGCAGTGTGAGGCCAGGCAGATGGATCTCGATTTAAGTTCCCTCATAGTCATTGACTTGCTGAGGGATCCTGAACTGAGGCTCTGCTTCTCCCTGAGCCTCCACCCACCCCACCCACTCATTCACCCATCTCTGCATCCATTCATTCACCCATTCGTCCATCTAGCCACACATCCATTCACTCAGTCGTCTGTATATGTATCCATCCATCCACCCATCCATCTATCCCTCCATCTATCCATCCATCCATCCACTCATTCACCCATCTCTCCATTCATCCATCCATCCACCCACCCATCCATCCATCCATCCATCCATCCACCCACCCATCCATCCATCCATCCACCCACTCATTCATCCATCCGTTAATCCATCTATTCATCCATCCACCTCTTCAATTCATCCATCCAAATCCCTGATCTTAATTCCATATCTAAGTTAACAGCAGATGTTAGTGCCCCAAAGTTAGCACTCTAGCACTCACCTTAGGGAGAAATAAAACACAATATCTCTTTCAGCTAACATACATGAAAACTCTACAGACAGAGAATGGTGTTATAACACCAAGGTCAAGGGTTCAGATTCTCATACGTGC